ACAACACACACACACACACACACACACACACACACACACACACACACACACACACACACACACACACACACACACACAAGCTGGCACCTTTGCAGATAATTCATGGGCCCTATGGGACAATGGCAGTAGGATGCACACGGTGGGAAGTATTAACTCTTTCTACAACCTCTACAACCAAGTGGCAGATTCATGGGCCCTATGGGACAATGGCAGCAGGGTGCACACGGTGGGAAGTATTAACTCTTTCTACAACCAAGTAGCCGCTTCTCACTCCATCTGTCTTGCCCGTTGGGAGCAGTATGTCCCTTTGCACTTGCTAGCGCAACAGCCTCCGGAGACCAACCTGGCTGAACACCCACCCCCTTCTCCAACACATTGCCAAGCAGTGTCCCCTCCCCGTGTAGACTGAACAGATTCTCCTTCGGGCAATGCACGGACCTCTCTTGAGGATTGTAGCTGCGCCCTCCCATTGTGTCACACAGCTACAGTTCGGTTAGCATGCAAATTGCACAGTCTCTGCTCCAAACACTATGAAGGGATGGTCACTGCTAGCCTCTGTCGTGAAAACTGTGACTCTTTGTCTTGTATTCATTCCCCCCCCCCGCCTAATTGCTTGCCCAAAATGCCACCGGGCCTTGATTTGCCATGTTTAAATAGCTGTGCACGCCCGCCTGCATTCCTACTGCGATGTCAGCAGCATGCCACATGTCGTCCATGTTTCCAGGAGGCTGTCATCGAAAGTTTGTGTCACTACTGGGTGGACTATCCCCACTGTCGTCATCCACCACATCCTCTCTTAGCATGTCCTGCATGCCGATTTGGGCACCCACCTACTGCAACTCCAATCGGACTTCCCTCTTCCTTGCCCGGCGAATGCCAAACTCAGCAGCCTGAAGAGGAAAATAGAGTACTGTCTGAACCGCATACAGTGTGCGGTACGGGAGGACTCACACCACCAGGGCGAACTGTTGCGGACCAAACCCTGCAGCAGCTCGATGCTCTCACTTTGGCTGACCCCCTCCCACCACCGCCGCCGTCGTCGTCTGGCCACAGAGGAGGATTCAATAATGAGGGAGCCCAGGACGCCTGCTCAATGCCGCTCTGTGATCATCCACCTGAGATCCAGTTAGCATGTGGGTTGCATGCATTGTGTCGTGAGGATTATGAAGGCACAGCTTGTGGTTATGATGACAGTCAATATTGCACTTAAATACAGCACCCTGATATGTCCTGTCCAATTTTGTAGACGGGCTCGAATGGCAATGTGAAACGGTTTTCACCTTTTAGCAGTAGCAAATGCAGATCCCAAGGCTCGATCCCTAGTTCTCACCTTACCTGTGTACAGTATCTGTGTCGACCCCGAGTGCTTGAACCCGTGACCTGTGTTTTGACAGTTGTTGTTGTCTGTCGTAGGTCTGTGTAGTGGTAGGGGTTCGATCTGTACCCTGTAGAGGTCGTAGCTGTAGGGATCCTGAAAGGTCAAGGTCGTAGCTGCTACAGTCCTGAGAGGTCAAGGTCGTAGCTACTACAGTACCCGAAAGGCCAAGTCTACAGACTTCCGGAAGGTCCCGGGAGTGAAGGAGGATCAGATGGAGAAGAAAATTACGGAGTGGGTTGCTGGGTTATCCCTGGGGGAAGAAGAAGAGGGACTAATGTATGTGCCCAGGGAAGAACAAGAGGCCGCCATGAAAATGTGGGATGCAGAAGAAGACCCAGTCAGGCGGCAGGCGATAGAGGATGAGAAGAGGATGGAGTGGAAGTTCCGATTGATGAGGGAGAGGAAAAGAAGAATGGAGGCGGCGAGCCAGGCGGTGAAAGAATTGGAGGAGGTGAAAAGCAAAGAGAGCAAATGGCGACGCAGGTGGACCTATTGGGGAAGATGGAGATAATGGCGAGGAACATGGAGCGCCTGGCACAAGTCCAGGAAGAACAATATTTGTTTGGTAGAGGTCATTGCCTTACGCTCTATACGGTTGGGCCTCTGGGACTTCGCCAGGGAATTGGCGACGCAGGTGGGCTCAGAGGTGAGGGCCCGCCTAGAGGGCACGAAACGCTATTGCACGGGCGCCATAGAAGGCGCCAAACTGGCTGCTCCCAAGGAGGAGGAGGCACGTCCCCGTAGGGAGCCCATTAAGGTCAAATTCCCGGATTCCTACAGCGGGAAGAAGGAAGAAAATTTTGATAATTGGGAAGCCAATATCAAGACGTACGTGCACTTGCAGAAAGTCGCCCCGGACGAGCATGTCCTAATAGCGATTCACGCTCTTAGGGAGGAAGCAGCAAGTTTCGCCCGTTCCCTGTGTCGTGCCGCCAACTGCAACGATGATCTCATTGCCTATTCTGCGTTTACGCCCCTCAATGATTTTCTTTAGTTATTAAGGGAACGGTTTGCAGACGTATCGTGTAGTGTCAAAGCCTCTGATAGGCTGCAAACCGCCAGTGGAAGAGTGCCAGGGCACTCAAAGGCGTAATGGACGAGTTAGTTGTCATCCCGGACCATGGGGTCATAGAGACCCAATTGGTCAACCTCTTCTACCGGGCTATGCCCGAGCAATTACGAGGGCACTTCTTCAAGAAGAGCCAGCAGCCCACCATGACCTACAACGCATTGAGTAGGGAAGTGGTGGCGTTCGAGGCGAGGTCCATGCCAATTTCCACTTTTTGGCATAAGGACCTAGATAAGGGCAAAATGTGGAAGGGTCGCACCATCTCGGGTCAGGTCAAGACCAAGGATCGTTTGATCCTTACGTTAGATGAGGGTGGTGTCGACGAAGTCCCCTATGAGCAGATTGAGTGGGTGCTAGCGGAGGAGGACAATGGCGTTAGCCACGGGAGGACTTACGCTGTTGTCGCGGCTGGAGGGAGGCCGCAAGGAGGAGGTAGAGGCCAGTGCGAAGGGGGCCGTTCCCAGGGCAATCAGGGGGTTGGTGGTAGAGGAAGAAACCGCCAAGCGGGAGGCAGGGGTCAAGGTCCCCTGCAAAACCGTCCAGGGAATAGGTCGCCTAATAGGGGTAATAGATCACCCTATAGGAGAGGAAATTTGCACCCAGGTCTGCCGCAGGGCCGACCTTGGGAAGATTTGGGCTTGGACCAACGCGTCTGGCAACAACGTGTGGACCAGGGGTTGTGCATATATTGCGGTGACCCTGGCCACATCATTAAATTTTGTCCAAAGTATACAGAGGCCCGATGGGCTGCCCAGGGGTCAAAAGGCAGCCGCCGGTAGGGGTAGCAACTGCCCCTACCATAAGGTCATGTGGGGAAATTAGTGCGAGCCGGCAGGAATCTCCCACACCACATGTGCCTATGGCAGAGGTTGCAGGCCGATGTCTAGATAGTTGTCCGGAGACCGTTTGTGTTAGGGTCTCTCTAGGCACTTCCCTCACAAGCGTGGCCGATGAGCTAAAAGAGACGATGCCCGCCTGGACCAAGATGAAGAAGGAGAGTAGAGGACAACTAGTTTTAGTAGATGTAGAGATTTTTAGAGCTAGAGTAGGGGCCGTAGTAGATAGTGGGGCCACGCGCAGCTATATCAGTAGAAAGGCGCTGCAGAAGTTGAAGTTGGGGCTAAAAGTCCAGAAGTTAGCAGACCCCATAGTGAGCATCCTCGCAAACAATCGCACGATGCGATTAGAGGATTATGTAGAGGGAGTCCAGGCGTACTTTCGCTTAGAGAAAGATGGGAAGGTGGAGAAAGTTCTCCATTCCTTGACTCTCCTCGTAGAGGACAACCTTCCTTTTGACATAGTCCTAGGAATGGACTAGGGAGAGGCAGCAGGGGCCACACTCCATTTGAGAGAGCATGAGTGTAGGCTCCGTAGCCCGTCAGGTGGGGTCAAGACGGTCCGTCTGTTTCATATGTCCGGAATAGACAACCCCCTGGCACATTGCTGCCTTAGCTCTCCTGCGTTCGCGAGGTTAGTGAAGAAGGAGCAGCTAGAAGAACAGGTTTTTGTAGCCTATGTTAGGCTAGTTACTGAGCCTAAAGAGGAATAGTCCATAGATCCCGCTATTGCCAAGCTGCTGGAAGAGTACGTAGAATTAGCTAAGCCGCCTACGGGAGTAGTCCCGCGACCCATCCAGCATTGCATTGAGATAGAGCCTGGCAGTAGGACTC